CAGTGGGATCAGCTTCATGGGCTTGGGGAGGCCATAAGTGAGATGATCTCTGTAAAGGGCCCAGGGCAGCGTCTGGGTCTCAGGGTGTACCATTACGGGTACATGCAAGGACCTTGCAAAGTTCTTTAACAGCTCTCATCCTCAGTTTTCTCATCTGTAAAATGAATTTTTTTAAGAAGTCTGGCCCACTGAGAGCAGACTGAGGGACTGTCTCGCTGACTCCCACGCCTAAGGCAGGGCCCAGCGTGCACCTGCCCGCCCCTCCCTCCCAGTCCCTTTCAGTCTCCCAGCCCCACTCAGGGCCTGAGCACTTGACCTGGTAGCAGCTTTGTTTTCCTTTCAGTTCAGGGTACGTTTTGCTCTATACTCACCTTCCAAGAATAGATCTGACTCCAAGTTCAGCCCTCTTTCCACTAAACTCCAGTTGCTACAATATATTTTTGGTCTAAGAATGATATATAGATTTTTGCCTAACAAATTAGCAATGCATTAAAAAAAATCCAGTGGTGGTAGGAATACAGAGAAATGGGCACACTCATCCACTGCTGGTGTCAATGTTTTAGATGCAACCTATAAACTGCCAAAATCCTTTAGAAGAGCTAACTGGCACTGTGTATCAAAAACCTAGAAATATCTAAGTTATTTTTTTCCCAGTAATTCTTGGTTTCAACAATCAGACCCAAAGTAATAAACCCCAATATGTCCATAAAAAAGCTTGCGGCACAAACAAATTTGTTGCTGCCATTACTGATACTAAGGAAAGATTGGAAACAGTCTTTGTGATCAGTCCTAAGAGAATAATTAACTGAATTATTGATGGAGCCACCTACCCAAGCTTATGCAATGAGGAGATTCTGAGAGCAAATTCCTAGAGACAGGAGAATGGTGGTCGTCAGGAGCTGTGGGGAGGAGGGAATGGGGGCTCTTATTTAATGGGTATAGGGTCGTAGTTTGGGAAGATGAAAGGAATTCTGGACATGGTGATGGTGGCACAACAAAGTGAGTGTACTTTGTGCCACTTAAAAAGGATTAAAATGGTAAATGTTACGCAATGTGTATTTTCCCCTACAGAAAAACATGCACTGCAGAAGACTAAGAAGACATTTAGAAATTCTGTTTTCTAAAATGCAAATAAAATTTGGAGTCTGGACTATGAGACGGTGAATGAGATAAAGGAGGGTATGTGTTCATTCATTTGTCCATCTGCATCAGGAAGCATGTACGTACCGGGCACTGCGCTGGCTACAGGACCCACAGTGGGACAGGCCTGGACCCTGACCCATTTTCTTGTAATATGGATCTGAACTTGAGCAGTTGTAGTTCTAAGGGAATCAGTTTAAACTGTCTGACATAATATCAAGTGTGAAACCTTGCGGGTCCTGATTTTGCAGTTTGGGGCTGAGTTTCACTGCTGGGGAGGTGGCGAGGTCCTAGGTAGCTGAGGTAGGCTTGGCTCTTTGCAATAAACCTCTGTGCGTTGTCCCATCCCTAAGAAGACGCCTCCTCTGGAAGATGATGGCTTCCAGCTCACTTAGCTTTAGACTTCTGAGAGCCAGTGACTCACATGGAATGGCCAGGAATATGGGTCACCAGAGAAACACTCTCGGGGCTTCCGGGTGGGAGTTGTGGCCCCACAGCCATGAAGATGGCCTGGACAGTGTTCACGACTTGGCCTGAGTCGGGGAAGGAGGGCGGGGGTCCCCTCCAGGGCCATGTTCATGCTCAGCATTATTTGCTAGAAAAATGTTTCAGAACATTCCCAGACTCTGGGATGAGGGTTAAATACAGTAAAACTGGGGAGGCAGTGCTAAATGTCACCATTGGGAGGAACAGGGGTGAAAGATAGCAGACAGGAGCCTGGGGCAGCTGAACTGCTCTGCACAGCTAGTAACTGTTTAGTGAGGGGCTATTAATGTGCCAGGAACAGGGATTACAGAAGCTGCATAGAAAAGGGGCAAAGTGCACAGACTGTAAAGTTGCATCACATAGTTCAAGTCTTGGATCTGCCACTTAAGGTCTAGCCGCCTTGGACAACTTACGTAACCAGCTCTGGGACTCAGTTTTCCCGTCTGCAAATTGAGGCTAATAATAACATCTGCCTCGTGGGTTGTTATGAGGACTGCATGAGTTTATATCTGCAAAATGCTTAAAGTAATGCTTGGCACAGGGTAAGCACTATGCAAGTTTCTATTACATGAGATTCAGTAAATTACTAGCTCTGGAACTCAAAGGAGCCAGAAATTCTTGAAGCCCGAGTACCAAGCCCCAGGCTCAGACCTGTCAGTCGTCCTGCCCTTCTCTCTCAGCGAAGCATGGAGCCCTCCACGCCCTCTCTTTTCCCGAGATTCCCTTTGCTTCCGCCCCTCCAGACAGGGAACAGACTAAAGAAAGAAGGGGGTTTTGGGGGCTCCAGAGCCCGCAGAGATGGGGAGCGGGGTGAAGCCAGCTTGGTTTTGGCTGCCAGCCCCTGCCCCTCCTGGTGGGCTCCCGGCGAGGGCACACCAAGAGCAGGCAGATGCAGATGGGATGGAGGCAGATTAATATAATCACTATATTACCAGCCCCACTCACTCCCCCACTCTTTGCCTTAATGGTGATTATTATACTTACTAGAGTCTCAGCTGCCACTGGTTATTGATTTGCCCTGCGGCAACATTTTAATCACGGATTTGCAGCTATTGTTGGTGACACAAGCCTCCAAGGACCCCAGGACAGGTGCGGAGCTGGGCACGGGGACCTTTTCAGCCAGGCAGGCGAGGTCCCCAGGGCTCCAGAGTCATGCAGAGCACTTAACCCGGAAACATCCTGCCCCAGTCTGGTGGCAGGGAAGGGGGGGCAGCAGAGCTGGCACCCCCCTGGGCTGCCCTCCATAGAGACTGAGCAGCAGTGTCTTCCCACTGGGGCATGGCTGGGACAGGCTCTGCTGGATACGCCACTCACGCCTCCCCAACCAAAGTGCCTTCTCCCCCCTCCCTCCCTCCTGGCCACCGGGCTTCCTCACCCGCCCGCCTCCTGGCTGGCGAGGAGGGGTGAGCGGAACAGTGTCTGGGTGTCTGCAGGGCCAGGATGGAGCCTTGATGCGGCCAAGGTGGGAAGAGCCCATCTGGGTGTGGGCTGTCGCCCTGACCATTTCTCCAGAGCTAGGGGTGAGGGTGAGAGGGAATGAATACTCACTGATCCCCTACTGTGTGTCAGGCAGCATACTGGGAGCTTTGCCCATGTTATGTCCTTAACCCTCCCATCAATGTTGCCAATGGCACATTATTGAACCCATTTTATAGAGGAAACAGAAGCTTAGAGACTCAAGGTGACTTGCCCAAGGCCACTCAGCTAGGAAGGGGCAGAGCTGGGATTGGACTCAGGCCTTGTACATAGTAGGTGAGAAAAACCCCAGCTTACCAGACTGATGGTGGCAGAATCTTCTAGATCTTCATGGATGTCAGTTCTGCACAGCTCAGTCCTGTTCTGTGCACTGAGGGCTCCCGATGAGCTGTAAGCCCATCAAGTGCTTGAGCCCAGGAGACCGTAACCTGTCGGGTGTCAGGGCTACTTGCCTGGGCTGCTGGAGGAGTTTGGGTGGTCCCCTGCAGTGCCCCCCAGCCCCTCTGCTCCATGAGTGTGCCAGAGGCAAGGCCACATGGGTTGGTCCCTTACTGTTTGGGAGGCTCTTGTGGTCCCAGGCTGCTGCTGGCCGGCACCTGTGGAGTCTGTGAAAACCATGGCATGTGAAGTTCTCGCAGCAAGTGCAGAAGGGAGAGCAGCCAATAAAAGTCAAATGAAAATTCAATAAATCACAAATATTAAACATTATGAAAATGGATTTCATACATCCACAAACAAATGGATTGTAATGTGAACATTTTTCAGTTCTATTGAAAATATTAACTAGATTAGGTGCTAACAGTTAAAAATGATTTCAGGCCATTGTGGTTGACTCTCTGGAACTCTGGGTCCTTCTGGGGGTCCTCCCAGCGGCCTGCTTGTGTCTGAGGACCGGGCAAAATGTCACTCAACTCCGGTGCTGGAAATGCCGTAGAAATGCTGTCGTGCAGATTTGTCCCGGGCGCAGAGCTGTGTTCTAGTGCTCTGGAGCAACCCAGGGCCCCTCAACTTTACAGAAGGCAGGCTGCCCCTGGGGCACCCACACATTCCTTCTCCTGGTGCATGGGGAGCTCCAGGACCTCCTCCGCGTCTCCCTGACCTCCCTTTGCTTTCCTCTTTCCCTGTCTTCTCTGAGAGCTGCCAGAGGGCCCAGTGCAATGGCGGCTGTACGGTCCTCTGAGGCCTGCAGGGCCGCACTTCTGACAGGCTCCGCCACGTCCAGGGCTGGGGGTGAGCTCCTGCCCCCACGAGGCCTTGCCAGCCTTCCTCCCCCTAGGCCCCCAGGCCGGAACTCTTCTGGCCCTGCAGCCAGCACCCCCCACCGTTACTTGGATTGGCTAGGCTTCTTTCTCTGCCCCTCCCTCCCGCCCCCATCCCCACCCCAATTCCTGGGCACCACACAGGCCCTGGGCCCAGCTCCCCACCCAAGGGGCCTTTCCCATACCGATTTGTCCCCAACCACCCCCACCACACACACACATACCCTGACCGTGGCCTCTGCCAGTCAGGCCTGACCACCACCAGCCTGACCAGCCCACCGGCTGCACCCTGCTCTGCACCCCCACCTCCATCACTCCGCTGCTGCTGGAATTCCCAGGTGCAGCCGTTCAGCCCCCATGTGGAGAATTCCTCCCTAGGCAGACACAGCTTGGAGGGGGTGCTGGAACCCCACCGACCACAGGACAAAGCATGTCATCACCCTTCTGAGCCTCAGTGTTTTCCTATCTGTAAAACAGAAACAGACAGACTGCTTGGAGGCCGGGATGAAATGAGAGAGCACACAGGGCCAGCCCGACCCTGGCACCTGGAGGCGGCCGCCGTCCTTGCCTGGTCCTCCGTTTCCCTTTCTTCTTTCCTCTTCGAGTCCTCCCAGCACCTGGCGGGGGCAGGGAGCTGACAGGCCTGGGCGTCAGCACGTGGGAGGCCCAAGCTAGCTGGCGCTGCTGGCACCTTGGCTTCAGGCCTCTGTTCCCACTTCCCACTCCCAAGAAGGGATGTATTTGGGTCCCTGTAGCTTCAGTGGCTCCTAATGTGTCCTGAGACTTGGCCAGTGAGTCACACAGCAAGTTGGTCCACAGAAATGAAGAGTCAGCACTGTCACCTGTGGATAATGAGCTTCTCGGGGGAAACCTGGAAATGCATCGGAGACAGGCAGCTGCAGGCCCCGCCCTCGCCAGTTGGGATTCCAGGCCAAAGGGCCTTGGTTAATTGCCCACCCCTCTGCACCTGCTGCTCCTGGGCCATTTCTGCCAAGGAGGGTGGCTCCAGGACTTTCTGTGTCTTTGTCCCCCTCACCCAGCAAGTGAACTGAGAACACAGGAGTGACCTGTCTGCCCTCCTGTTGTCCCCTGTGAATGTGCACGGGGTACAGTGCAGCCCGGAGGTCAGGACAAATGTATGAAAGGGCTGGGGAAGGGCAGGCTGAGGCCCCCCGCCGCCTCCCACCTGCAGACACCCACCCGCCAGGCAGGCCATGGGGCAGGGGATGTGGGCTGCGCTTGTGTTCTGCCGTGGTCCCTGGGAGGAGTCCTGATGAGACTGACTGCCGGAGACGTGCCCTTCCCTCTGCTGGCTGCTGGCCCCACAGGCTCCATGCCTGGAGGAGCGGGGTGGGAAGGGGGCCTGCGTCGGAGCTGGAGGAGTCCGGAGCAGGGGCACTGGAACAGAAGAGGGCTTGGCCGCTGGGCCAGCCGCTCTTCACTGCACCCCGAAGCTCCCCAAACCCATGGCTTTTCCCCTGCCCCTTCTAGCTGCCCTCAGCCTCCCTGGGGCCTCTGTGTCACAGAGGGCAGGACCTGGCTGGTGGGGCAGCCACGCCCATAGGCAGAGCTGAGAGAGGGACCCAGCTCTCTCTCCTCTGGCCCCGTGCAGCCCCGGAGCGTGTCTCTTGTTTCAGAGTTGCTCTGCGTCATGTTTCCCTCTCTGCTCAGCTCCCAGGCCTCGGCGGCCCTGAGCAGTGCTTGCCTCCTCATCCATCATCCTGGCTGCGGGGCACCAGGGTCCAGCTCGCAGAGAAGCCTTCCTGCCCTAGGCCGCCACGGAGAAGGGCTCAGCTGTCAGAGAAGAGGCGGTTTCTGAAGGGGGCAGAGCGCTGGGCTCTCCAGGGCTGAGCGGCTGTGAATCACGGACGTCACGTCCCGGGCAGCCCCCGCTCTGGACGGAGAGGGTGTCCCGCCTTCCTCCCCTGAGGCGGCCTCTCTGCTCTGCAGCCCTTTGGAGCCCATTTATTTGATATGAGGCGCGTTTCTCCTGGTTATTACTTGTTGGCTGCTTTTTTAATGAGTGGGGATGTTGTGCACACCCTCCCCGTTGGGCCGTTCTCTGAGCAGGAGGCCGCGCCTCTCCCCCCACTGCAGCTGGGCTAGAAGGCTGCACCGCCAGCTGGTGCTCCGCATCAGCGGTCACTCTGACCGATGACAGACGGGATGGCGAATGAAAGGCTCTCCCCTGCCAGGAAGGCCCAGGAGAGGAGGGCAGAGGCCGCAGGGAACCCACGCGGCTCACAAAGCAGTCCGAGGTGACGCCACCCCCCTGGTCAGGCATTATAAACTCTGATCCCGGAAAGGCCTTGAGCCACCGCTTCCTTGGTTACTTCCCACCCTCCTCCTGCCCTTCCGGGCTCTCCGCCTTTCTCACTGCCCATGGGCAGCCTCACTCAGCACTGCATCTCGCGCCTTCTCCTGCATTCAGCGGCCTCTCTGCCGAGAGTCCATGCCCACGGAACCACTGCAGGCTCCTTGACCCTCTCCCCCTATTCCCTGTCCCACCCTGCTACCCCCATTCCCGCTCAGAACTCGCGTCTTCCGTCTGATGTACATGCAGCAGCCTCTGTACCCCACACTCCAGGCTTGTGCCCTTCAAAACCACCTATTGCAGCCCTTCCCCAATACCTGCCTGCCCCTTTGGGTCCCTACCTGAAAGGCTGCAGGGGCCCCTTTCTGGAGGCCCTCCAGTCCTGCTCACGCTGCTTGCACCCCGGCTCCAGCACCCCCTTGCACACGTGCTCCTTCACACCAAGGTCACTTGGTTGTGTCGAGGCCTGGGCTGGGGGTGCCTTTCTCCCTGCCACCCCGCCCCTGCTCTGGGCAGCACCCCTGCAATGCTTCAGCACCCCGGCCTGCCTCCATCTTCCGAGGGGCTGGGTGCCCGCGGCCACAGTTACCATGTCATATTGAATGGTTTATTCATCTATCCATCCCCCCAACTCATGTGTCATTCCATAGCGCCTGGAGTCCCCGGCACAAAAGGACTGTTACTGAGTGAGCGGACTGGGGTGAGTAAAGGGATGGTTAGGAGTGGGGGTCTGGTGGGCAAAGGCCCCCAGATAAGGATGACGAGGATGGAGACGCAGGCCAGGGAGCAATGTTTGAGGAAAATGCAGAAAGAGTGCCAGATTCAGCCACGGGGGGGGGGGGGGGGGCAGGCGGGGAAGCGCTTTGAATAATCAAAACACCTTTTCCCCAGTGCTCCTGTCGGCACCTTCTCAGGGTGAGGAAAATAAACCTGTTTTCCTTATGACAAAGCCTGATTTGATGCTAAACCTGCTCAGCTTTGCAGGAAGCCGCTGTGGCTCTGACAGTGGGAAGGAGGCAGGGGGAGGTAAATGGGGAGAAACAGAGAGAAGGCGGGAAGGAGACAGGAGGCGGGGGAGGAGAGGAAGAGAAACTGTGCGGATTACTAATGTGGCGGGAGCAGCAGGTCCTGCGGGGAAGCGCTCAGTGTGCGTGAGAAGCAGGCGGTGCTCAAGCAGCCTCCCTGGGTTCCTGCAGCCCAGCGCAGCGAAAGGGAAGGGGCGGGGAAGGAGGGGGCTGGCAGGGATGTGGAGGCTCTGTGTGGCCCCAAAGCAGCAGGGTGAGAAGGAGAGAGGGCCTGAGATCTTGGCTCTGCCCTGGTGGGTGACAGGTCGCCCGAAGTCCTCTCGGGAGGGAAGGGGCTCTTCCGCTCTCTGAGGGGATGTCTCATCCACTGAGGTCACAAACTCCTTCCTTGGGGAGGTGTTTACAAGGTCACTGGGACCCTTTCCCTGCCTGGCTGGGAACTGCACCCAGCGCAGGCCTGGCATTGAAACATATGCACTTACGGAAGCTTCTAGGAGCCCCTGTCTCTGGGGGAGGGGCAGTTCCTTGCGGGTGGCTGAGCCTGAGCAGTGTGCTGATGTGGGGAGTGAGTAGGCATGCCCCTAAAATTGCCCTCCCTCAGCACAGGAGAGCAGTGGTGAGGCAACCCCTCAGGAGGGCTTGGGGTGGGGGCAGGCATGCTGGGGGCTCTGAGGACCAGGGACTAGCTGGTCTCTGTTAAGAAAACAAAAGGACGGGTGGCATCTGGGCGTCCCAGACTGTACCTCGGAGATCATCTAATCTAATTCTCTCAGGGTAGAGGAGGGGAACAGAGAAGAGCAGCGGTTTGCCTGAGGCCACCCAGCAGGTGAATGTCCGGGCAGGGACGGTTCCACTTGCACAGGGGCCCTGCTGCTCCCGAGGCCCACCGCAAGCTAGAGACACATCCAAACGGCCCTGACATCTGTCTCTAAAAGTTCAGGATGTTCTGAAGCTTGTAGTGCGAAGTCTTCTTGAGAAGATGGCCGAGAGGTGACACCCATCCAAACCTCCTGAAGACACTGTCCCCCTCTCCTCAAAGTGCCAAAGCGCCTGGGAGCTGGACGGCTTCCTCCCTCTTGAAGCTTGGCCCTAGACCTTCCTGCTCCTCACCCTCCCTCGGCCCCCAGCTCCTGGCATCTCCTGTTTTTCCCCTTCAGTTCCCCATTTCCACTGTTACCGGGCCCAGGCCCGGTCGGTCGCCAGGCAACGGATCCTTCCTCCTTAAAAGGTCACCCTGGCTCTGCTCGCTGCACCCCTCCAGTCTGTGATCACACTCCCTTCCCCTCCCTCCTGTGCTTCTAGCATCCCTAACAGGGAGACAGGAGTGAGGGGGCTGGAGTGCCTGGAGGAAAATCCATCACACTCACAATACAATCCTACAGGGCCGCAGGGCAAGGGCCCCCCAGCCCCGCCTCACACCAGGGCCTCCTCTCCTCTCTTCAAACCTGTCTTGCCTGTTCTGCTCAGAGCCCTGGTCCCTTCTCACCCCTCTGCCTGGAAGACGTCCCCCTTGCATTTTTGTATGGCTGGTGGTGAAGGTTGCAGCCCAGCCATCAGACCTCTGGGAGGCCTTCCTTGACTACATTGTTAGTGTCACTGGCCTCTGCCATCAGTCATAAAACCTCGTTTTGTTGTCTTCTAGCACCTTTTCCTGTCTGAATTACACTATCTGTTATGGTTTATTTGTTTATTTCCTTACTGTCTGTCTCACCCACTGAGAACAGAAACCTTGTTTCTCTTTAGTTATTACGACATCCTGGTACTCGGCACTTAAAAAAGCATTGTTCAAAGAACCAGTGAGGACACTAGAGATGGCTAAGGTTTAGGCAGGGCCTGAATCTGTGTAAAGGTCTTTGTAGGTGGGCTTTGTAGGCTCATAGTTTGTCTGCCCTGCTCAGAAAACGGAGGCTCCAGACCCATGAGAGACTGGATCAAGAATTAGGGGATCCCCGTCCGCCGCCACGGGGAGGGGCTGTGGCCTGCTGCCTGGCGGGTGCCGCCATCCCTGCCCTGTCTAGTTCAGCTTCCCGAAGGCTGTCCTGGAGGTTACTTAGGAAGCACCGCTCACCCGCCCACCAGGCCTCACTCTGGAACTTGCTGGGTGACCCCTCCGGCAGACAGACAGACACTTTCTCCTTCCATCCCCCTTCCCATTCCTCTTCCGGGATTCCAGGCAAGAGACGAGTGAGCAGTGCCCGAGCTCCGCGGAAGAGATGGTATGCGTGGTGCCGCCTGCCTCACCCCCAAGCTGCGCTGGCAGCCGGGGCAGAGAGGCGGGGCTGGGCCAGGCCACCTCTGCTGGGGTTCCCGTCTCCATCAGGGGGAGGCTGTAGCCTCGCCAGGAGCTCAAACCCTCCCCGCAGGCTTGCTGGGTTTTGTTTACCAACAAGCGGGAAGGAGCCTATTGTACCCGGGGTTAAAGGAGCGGAAAGAAACCAGTGAGCAGGAGCTCGGGGCCAAGAAGCCGGGCTCAGAGACAATAGATAGGAAGGGAGGAGGTGTGGGAAGGGAGCCCTCGACCGCAGAGGCTCGGAGGAGAGAGCCAGGTGTGCCCTGCCCGCCACTCGCCACTCGGGGACATTAGGAGAGGGCGGGGCCCTTTGCGGTCAGATTTCTGAAGCAGGTCTGCCTCCCCCCAGGCTGTGGGGCTGGTCTCCCCCGGCGCCTGCTGGGTGTGCTCTACGGGCCAGGCTCCTACAGCAAGAGGGCCGTTCAGTAGGCGGCAGACCCCCACCAATCCGAGAGGGCTGGGGTCTCTGCAGTCAGGCCCAGTCTGAGTTTCCATTCTTTCTCTTACTTGCATGACCTTGGACAAAGAACTTAACCCCTCTGAGCTCTCAGACTGACGCAGCGCCCACTTCATGGAGCTACTATGGAAGTAACTGTGATGATGCGTGACATGCAAAGGGTTTGCACAGGCCTGTCAAATGAAAACGGTGACCGCATAGCCCTGCGGCCTGGACCTCCGACTCCTAAAACCAGGGGTGAGGGCCTGCCTGGACACAGGGGCTTGGGCTGGGGGTCTCGAAGGAATCTCAGCACCTTTGGAATACTGAATTTCTGCCAGTTCCCCTTTTTGCCTCCCTCTCATAATCTCTATAGGGATGCTGTCCTGACACGCTAACTTTAAGAAAGACCCTATTTTCAGACTGATTTGTTCAAAGGGGTAGCATCTACACTGGCAAAGTGATTTTAACCCTAGTATATAATGATCTGAAAGCCTTGACTCCCTAAAGGCTACATTTTCCCCCTTCCTCTGCAGGGTACTTTAGCTTGAAGTATCTGTGTAACTGCTTAACACCTTCCGACTTTGTGACGAAAGAGGGCTGGCATCGGGCTGCTGCACCTTTCCGGTCTGCTAGTTCGCTGGATCAGCCAGAGCCTAGGACCACGCCCTGCCAGTGGTCCCACTCTCCTCTGCATACGCCGGTCCCCACTGTCCCTCCCCCTGGCACTCCCCCAAAGGCCAGACAATCACCTGCCCTGACTTGTCCTGAGGCTCAAACCTGCTCTCCTGCCCTCCCCAGGACAGCAACAGAACTGGGCTGAGGGAACTCCCGGGGCAGGTGCACACAGTGAGGCCGC